GAGAAGAGAGGCCCCCCAAAAAAGAGAGCGGAGAAAGAGAATAAATAAAATAGACAGGGGAAAAAAGGGAGAGAGAGGGCCAAAAAAAGAAGATGCGGAATGAGAAAGAGAAAAAAGAGAGGATGACAGGGACGAAAAAAGGGAGAAAAGAGGGATATGAAAAAGAGGAGAGAAACGGAAGAAGAAGGTAGTGGAAAGAAGAGAATAAAAAATCATAAGAGAGAGGAATTTGGAAATATGATTAGAAGGAAATTGGAAAAGAGAAAGACGGTGTGTGTGAGAAAATTAATGAAAAGAGAAAGAAGGAAAAAAGGTTGGGTAAGAGGAGAGGAAAGAGAGAGGGGTGATAACGAAGGGAAGGGAAAAGGGAGAAAGACATAAGAAAGAAGAGGAATAGAGGGAAAGAAGGAGATTAACGAGATGATAAAAACTGAGAAAAGCGAAGGAAAAAATAAGCAAAAGAAAAAGATCAAAAGAAATAAGGAGGATAAGAAGAGGAACGAAGACCATAAGAAGGGGACAAAAAGGCGAAGGAGAAAAAAGGGGGGGGTGAGTAAGTTGAGGGGGGGGTGAGTGGAGGGGTTGAGAGGGGGGTCGGAGTGGTTGAGGGGGGGTTAGTGGTGATCGGAATAACATGGGGGTGAGTGGATGAGGGGAATGAGGAGGGGTGAGTGGGTAAGGGATGAGGGGGAGGGGAGGGTGAGGGGTGGGTGATGGTGATGGGTGGGTGAAGGAATGAGGGAGGGGAGTGAGTGGTGATGGGGCCAGGGGTGGGGGCCTGAGAAAGGGGCGACGGCGTGTGAGATAGGATTAGAGGACACGCCGGTGTTAGTGAGACGGTTGAAGGCGCTTCCCGGGGAGGAAGAGTCGGCGAGGACGGAGCCGACGCAGTAGGACGAGTTGCACACACATACGTACATGACATTACTTCGTACATATATACATGATACGCACACACACACACATCACACACACACACACACACACACACACAACACAACACATGCGCGCATACACACACACACACACACACACACACAATATATACATATATATATTATATATGAGTTTATAATAGAATATATAGTATAATATATATATATGATATATGTATAGGGTATATATAGATAATATATATTATATAATTATATACGCACACATGAAAGACAGGAAACGCGCGTGCCTGTGTGTTCATTATTTATCTATCTATTAATCTATAAATCTATTTACCAATTAATTCATCTATTTTTTGTGTCTCGCCCCGGATAATAGGGAGCCGACCGCCCGGACCACCGTCACGACACGCCCTTCACCTCGACCTCATATCGCTTCACTTCCCTAATCACTAATCCAATCGGTAACAGTCATCACATCAACTCCAATCACTGTCAAATGGTTAGGGATCAAAATACAGGGTGATACTTAACGGGGATTTGGACCTTATGAGTCTCGTTCCGGGAAGTTGGATTTGTAGGGTTGAGAGCGAGAGAGAGAAAGGAGAGGGAGAGGGCGAGGGAGATGGGGAAGGGGGAGAGGTGAGAGGCGAGAGTACGAGGGAGAGAGGGAGAGGAGAGGGAGAGGGAGAGGGAGATGGGAGAGGAGAGGGAGGAGAGGAGAGGAGAGAGAGAGAGAGAGAAGAGAGAGGAGAGAGAGAGAGAGAGAGGAGAGAGAGAGAGAGGAGAGAGGAGAGAGATGAGAGAGAGAGAGAGAGGAAAGAAAGAAAAAAGAGAGAGAAAGAGAATAAGAAACACATAGATAAAAAAAAAGGATATTAAAGAAAGAAAGAAAAAGAAGGGGAATAAAGGCGTGGTGAAGAAGAAACAAAGAAAGAGGAGAAAGGGGAGAGGAAGAGAGAGGGAGGGTGGGGGGAGAGAAGAATTGTCCAGGCCGCCTACTAGACAAGGTCAAGACAGTGATGGCCAATTGAGCAGAAAGCCTTAGGCCTACCCACTGATCACTTAGCGGCGCGGGGAAGGACCGGAAAGTATGTGATGGCACGTTATGAGTGAAGGTGCGGCCGTTTGTTTGTTTGTTTGTTTGTGTGTGTGTGTGTGTGTGTGTGTGTGTGTGTGTGTGTGTGTGTGTGTGTGTGTGTGGGTGGGTGATTGCGGTGTGTGTGTGTGTGTGTGTGTGTGTGTGTGTGTGTGTGTGTGTGTTGTGTGTGCGCGTGTGTGTGTGCGTGTGTGTGTGCGTGTGTGTGTGTGTGTGT